GGTCCCAAAACAGAGCCCTGGGGAACACCACTTGTGACCGGAAGTGTGATTTTGGAAGCACGAGTGTCTTTCACTCCTGTTGAATGTAGTGGGGATTGAGCAGCCTGACACATGAAAGGTTGGGACCAGAGGGAGCTTCAGCTACTTGGCATCTTTCAGGCTTTGGTTGTTTAATGTATGCTTGCTGCTAGAAGTCAGAAGACATTCAGCAACCAGGTTAGTGCGCTGGCTCACACCTATAGGGATCCTTTCTTGTTCTCTCTAACCTCGTTTTCTCCTTCTGCCACTTATTTTTGCAATGGAAGATATTGCTAGATGATGCCAAAAAAAAGTATTTTTCCATATTTAAAATAAGCAAGATCAGTTTACGAGGAAAGGGGACATTGCATAAAAGTAACGAATACACTGAGCAGTTACTGTGTAACTGAAAGACACTACTCCAACATTCCCACAGGTTACCTCTTAGGCTCAGCTCTGCAAGTGACACACACCACTAGTGGCTTAGAAACAGGGCCCAGTTCAGTCTCAGTTCATGTACCTTGCTATCTGCATGCTGGACAGATCTGTCACCTCCAGTCTTGCACTTCTGCAGCACTTCAGTTCTAGCATGCCCTCACCTGTAGTAGAGGCATGGTAGTTGGGAAAAGGATACTAACTCTATGCAAAAACACTGAGGGTGGAAAGGCAGTTCTCTGTGTACTTGTGGAATATTAGGTTGCCAAAGTAGCTGAAAGCTTTTGGGTAGGAAGAGAGTTTGAGGCATCATGGTCACATATGAAAATGGGGCCGGGGGGAGAGAAAACATGTACGAGGGAACTGACACTCATCTTGAGTGGTGTATGCAGTGTGTGTGGAAAAGAGCATACTTGTTTCTGTATTGAGAGGAAGGGGAATGTTGTGCAAATCAAGATGTTTACACAGGTGGCTGGCTGGGCTGTGGCATTACTCTTATGAACTCTTTTGGATAACTAAAGTAAGGATGCAGCAATAGGGAAGCCAAAGTGCTTAGAGTGCTTAAATGCAAACCTCGAAGGCAGGGATGCAACATTGTTTGCAAGTGCCCTCAGTCTGGGGATCATACAGTGCTGCTGTTGTCTGCTGTGTATATCATGAGACCTGCTCCAAGTTTGAGTTGGTGATATACTGGTAAAAAATCATGGCATCTGTTTTACCTGTGGCCTGGATTGCTACTGCTTATAGCAGCAGTTACCGGAAGTGTTAAGGACATCAGCATAGTACAGACTTCCCTACAACTGTTCAGGCATCTCTGGTTTGACACTAGTGGTCCTCTGCAGTTGTAATGACTTTTGCATTCAGATGCTACATGTGCAAAGACATCTATGTCAGAGTTGCAACTGTTTGCCCCACGGTTGAATACTACTTTCTGGTTGGGGTGGTTTCTCTTTGAAAACTGTGACATTGTGTGTTAACAGTGGAGAATGGAAACTTGGATAACTTACCAGGTCAGCAGCGCCTGGGAACTGTCAGTGTTCGCATCATGGTTCACGAGTGGCCTTTGGCATCCAGTTCTGATTTGCAGCTGATTGTCATTCAGGAAGAAGTGACAGAAATTGATGGAAAACAGGTAAAAAAAAACCCAACGTAATGCTTGTTTTTAATTTAGGAGAGGCAAGCAGTTACCAAGGATTAAGAGGTTTACATGTGTCTGGCTGGTGGTTAGAGCACAGAGTATATAATCTAATGCTAGCTAGCACAGTACTGAGGGAGATAATACCAACATAAGTTGCCTGTACAGTAGCAAGGGTGTTTCATGAGAAGACTTCAAGTTTTAATGCTTCTATTTGTATTTTAATTATTAAGTGTTGGATGACTTTCCCTTAAGCTTGTTACAGTATCATTAACTCTGTCACATGCTCTTTCAACACGTGCATTTATGCAAGCAAAGTCAGACTCACAAGCAATGCTTCATTTACAAAATAATGTACAAAATAAATAAAAGGGGTCTGGGCTCATTCTGAGTCCTGAGGTTTCCCCCGTTGTTTATTCCAAGCTAACAAAGTGTTTCAAGCATGTGGGATGGGAAACAGCTTGCAGCAGCAAACTCTTATGGCAGGTGGGCTTGTTGTGAAAGCCCACAACACCAGAGAGCTTAACCTTAGAATATTTTGCATTTAAGATAATTCATTTGAATAAAAATCTTGACAATGAACATGGATTTTGAGAAAAACACCCCCAAATTCTAACTGTACTTGCACAAATACCAGTGAATGTGAGGGGTTACAATTCTAGTTGAGCTTGAAATGTGCAGAACTGAGTTCTCAAAATCACCTATAAGGTATAGTTATTTTTCCAACCAGAGAGGTTCTGGAGAGAAGATACAGCCGCTGAAGCCAGCAAAAGTGTCATTTGTTTCAGTATGTGTCTGCATCTTACATGCGGTCAGGCTCTTTTGAAGCTGGCTTACGTTCTGCTGGGTTTTTTTTTTGTTTGGTTGTTTTTTTTTTTTAAAGGAGAACGATAATAGCATTGATCCTTGATTAACTGCATGCTCAGCATGTAGTATTTTTACAGGGATCTGCATCATATCAAAATTTTACTCTGTTAATGAAAAATCCCACTGAGAGGTTTGAGCTTTTCTAATGAGCTGTTTATCCCACTGTCAGAAGGCTAATATATCCTGGTTTGGTTCAGTTGTTACACAATAGCGTTGCTATCTTTCAGATTTCAAACCAGACATCATAATGCATTTCAGATTTTCATAGGGACCTGGTAAGAACAACCAGAAAGCTAATGTTGTTTCCTTACTTGTTCCTTTAAGTCAGCAGCTTTCAATCTTTCTCATTAGTTACCAGCTGACAGTAACGATCATCTGTTTCATTGCACCATTCTGCGCACGTGTGAAGCAAAAGGAGACCGTTGGTTGGCCTGTGGTTCTGAAAACATGAGTGAAACTGTGTCACATGCTGCATTCCTCTTTCGTTATATTTCTATGTAGCAGTTATATAGTCACAAACACTCTGGATTTCTGTCAGTTCTTGGCCTCACAATGCAGTTATTGATGTTAGCAGGAGTTATGCTGAGTGTGTTCTACATAATAATCACTGCAAGCATTGCTTAAGTGAAATGGGTCTGGTGCATCACTGGAAGAGGTGGAAGAAAACTATTCTTCTGGTTGTTTGAAAAAAAGCAACATTACTGGAAAAGCAGAACCATGTCTTGCCTCAGCAACACTTTCAGTGTTTGCAAGTGCTCTTTCACTACGTACTTGAGTTTTCCATGCCCTAAAATGCCTCCCTGATCGTAATGAGCTATGTAAGACTTGGTTAAAAGCCCATGGAGTGACTACCACATGCTTTTGCAGGGACAGAGAGACCCACTCTGTTCAGCATATTTTCTAATGTGGTATAGTCTATAGAAGAGTGGTAAGTAAAGACAAAGAACACTAATTCATGTTATAACATCCCTATGTCTAAATCTTAATGGCTTGGAGTTTTCTGTGATGAATACATCAGGCTGGTTTTCTCTGCCAGCCTACTTCACTCTTACTTGTAATATCAACATGTTTGCATCTCTTGTAGGTTCAGCAAAAATAGATATTTTAGTAAAGGACCTGAGAGTACTTAGACATTCAAACTACACTGTCCCTTTGAAAGAGAGCATGCTGTATTCTATCCCAAGGGACAACGACATGTTATTTACACTTCCCAACCTCTCAGGAAAAGGTATCCCTCTTAGCTGTTACATAATATTTTTATTTATAGTTGATGTAGTTGCTTTACAAGGGTGAAACAGTTCCTTCATTAACAGGAAAGTGTTTTGTTTTATGTGGTTTGGTTTTTGTTTTTTAAACACCTAAATTCAACTCTTCTACATCCTAGGTGTTTTGTTTGTTTGTTTTCAAAACTGCTCTCCTTTGAAGCACCTGGTACTTGTCAGTCTGCAACCCAGACATATCACAGGAATAAATTTTTCTCTCAGTGCTATGATGGAAGTTTCTTTAAAGCTCCCCCTTTTTGCTGATAATGAAGGAGAAAACTGGAGAGGAAATACCTGTCTGGGTCACTTCCAAACCAGAGAATAGTTTTGTTATTAAACTTGAATAGCTTAAAAGCAAGAGAAGTTATTGAATGCCTTAATCTTATTTCAGTTTTGTTTAATCAAAAACTCTCAAGGATTTCATAGGAGATTAATATTTTGATCTAGTTCAGCACCTTTTAATCTGGCAACAGCTGAAATTTACAGCTAAGGGCACAGCTAAAGGCTGCATTGTAACACAGCTTCTGCTTCTTATCAAGTTCACTACTCAAAAAAAAAAAAAGTCAGCCTTCTGTGTTCTTGCTGTAAATGTGTGAGAACTGTACCATAAGTATAGAAATGTAGCATGTCTTTGTTTTGCTGAATAGTGAGTCAAATAAAAGGCAAGCCCCCCACTAAATCTAGCTTTTCTTTTTCAGATACTCAAGACCCACTGCAAACTACCAGTCAGTACCTCATCCGGCAAGTAGAAACTACAGTAGATGAAGAGACATTACCTGGCAAGTTACCAGAGACCCCTCTTAGGATAGAACCTCCATCTTCTTACAAGGTAGTTTTGTTGTTTGTTTATTTTAATTATTCGTATATATCTTTAAAGACTGGTCTAAAAAGGAGAAGCAGGTTTTTTTTCCCCTCCTCCTGTTTTTTCCCTCTTTCCCCAGAGTGAAATGTATAGAGCTTGGTGACATTTCTAGGAGGAGAAGTTGTAGTAACATGTTGCAGAAAGAGCTGAATGTTATTCAGTATTATAGTTTGAGGGAATAAACTTCCTTCCCTGTTTTTAGTATTGTCTGCAGAAACACATACAAATATTATGTTTTCCTCCTTTGTGGATGTTTACAGAACAAAACAAACAAACCCAGTATTGTTAGGATTCAGATAGCCGGTTTTCCTCATGTGAAGACCAAACACAACATCCATTTAAAGATCGTAAGAAGGTATATAACATTCCTAGGCCTTTGTCGTTGGTCCTCTATTTTTAATTTAAAAAAAAAAAAAAAAGCAATGTAGTATGTAGTAGCTCATTTCTGGAAGAGAGAATTGCCATTCTTACTTAACCTGGTATTGACTTCTCAGAGTACTGTTATGCTGCTTTATATTTGTTAAAGACCAGGATTTTCTGTTGTGTGAGGCATCTGACCGTAACTGACTTCCACAGAAGTCTTAAAAAATTGCCACAGCCAACCACTAAGAACAGAATTTCACAGATGTACTCTAGAAAACTTTTAAAACCCCCCCCTTCCTAAATTACCCTTTAGCAGTGAGAAATTCGGGTTTTTTTTGGTTTTACTCCAGTAGGAATCAGATGGGTTTCTAAATCCTGCAGTGTTCTGACCTCACAGATACTTCATGACAGTGAGTTGTGATATTTACATTATATCAAGCTAAGCATTTATAACAGTTTCAAATACTGTTTAGCTTTAAGTTACCTAGGTTTTTATCTGACTCCGCTTGAGTGCTTACCCTTCTGGGAGATGGGCCATTGGTCTCAGCCACTGTAAGAAACACAGTAAGAGCTTGAGAAGTTTCAGTTCCAGATTAGGTAAGGATGGGCTTGATGGCGTCCTCTGTGGCTGAAAGAAACACTTTATAACCTACTGCTGAGACGGGAGGACCAAAATAATAAGCTGAAAGTTACAGATAGACTAGAGAAGGAGCCACCCCTCTCCTGAGCTGTCAGTAACCCTTCTGCTGTTGTACACTGCCATGGTGTCTTAGCTTCTTGCCTAGGCCAAATAGCTCACCTTTCACCTGCTCTGTTCAAGTATCCTTTATTTCCCAAAGTGGCCTTTCCTTTCAGGGAACTCTGCTAGGATGAGTAGAGGACTAAACCTTCCAAACTTTGTAGAAGAAAGATGTCTGAGTCGCCAGTCAATTCCATCCTACCTTCACATATGTTTAAGCATACATAAATTTCAGTAAAACTATCACCATGTAATGTGATTCACCAGTAGCTACAAAAACTGCACTTGCTATGCTTTGCAACCTGTCTTTTTATTTTTACCTGTTTGGTTGTAGGTGATGTGCCAGTGGGTGGAAGACTTAAGAAAAGGGTTGTGCAGATTCTGGTTTCGATCTTTACCCATCTTCTTCAGTTTGATGGAAGTCATTGTAGTTGGAGTTGTTGGAGCAGCTCTTATTCTCAAAGTCTTAAAGGTGCTTTTCCCTCCCTGTGAAAACAAGTAAGTAATTTTTGCTTTTTTTTTTTTCCTCTGATGAAGGCAAAACATTAACTAAAAAGTCTTTCAAGAAGCAACCTGGTTCAGTAGGAAAATGATGGCAACACTTAGGTGAAAAGGCTGCCTGTAATTATCCCAAGTGACCTTTTGACACATAGGCATTTCAGAGGAATGTCGGAAAATCTTTCATTGGAAACGTCTTTAGCTTGACTGTCATGCTGCTGAATTTTTATCAAGTCTTCTGAAGACTACGTTGTGAGACACCATTAACATAGCTCCAAGAGAGGAGGGTAGAAACTAGAGCTAAACAATTCCAACAACTCTAAATCTTTTCATACTCCTACTGTGTTGGAATTACTATAGTAGTTACGAAAAGCCTCAAACTTGGCTTTGCAAATTTGTACGGGAATCCCCCAAGGAGGAGCTAGCTATGTAGGCAGCTTACGAGCCATAGTGATTGGTGCTAGCATTGGTGGCAAAAGGTCACAAATAAAGTTGATTGACTGCAGATGGCTTTATTCACTCGGTGCGTTACCAGGAACACTAATATTTTTCAGAGAAGCAAGCTCTCAAAACACAAGGGGTAGAAAGATGAATTAGTAACTGCAGCTAAGATCAGGATAGATTTAGTGCTGGAGTGGGCAAGCATGTACATTTTAAAGCAACCCAAGTCAGTTCTGGAAGACCTAACCCTTGGAACCATACAATTCTTTCAGGAGAAGGGACTGACAGTGTAGCACGCTTCATCACCCACAACAAGCACAGCTCATGTCTTCAAATGCAACTGACCGGCTGTGCTTCAGAATGGCCCTGAGTGCAGTTAATTTATGTATCCACCCAGGGATATGACTGGCCTTAGTCCTTCTGACAGAGCTAGAAAAATGGAGGTTTAGAAGATCTGGAAGGTTGGAAACTGCAGTGACAAAAGAGAGCATGCTTCCCCCTGACATTTCACAAAGCATGCTGTCAGTTTGGAGTACTTCTTGTAACGAACTTCTTAGAGCAGAAGAAGTGAAGAAACACTTTGTACTCCCCTCCAGCAGTAAGCAGCTTAATAATGCCACATGTGAAACTCTGAACTAAGAAGAACTAGGAAAAAAATTCTAATCCCCATAAACTGTTCAGCAAAGATTCTGATGGCCTGTCCATGGCAGAGGTCAGTACAGAGCAGAAGAACCAGCCTGCAGTAATGCCTTTTCCAATTGGAGAACGTGGGGCTTGTGCATGGCTTGTCAGAGCATTTCAAGAAATTGTAACACTGGAAGGACAGTGTCCCCCCCCTTTAAAAAAAAACAACAAACCCAAACCAAAACTAAACAAAAACCAAAACCCCAAAACCACACAGTCATTTTCTTGGTACCTGTATAAAGGTGGTCCCATAAAAAGTGGTAAAGGTTTGATTCTAAACCAGCAAGAATGAGTAGGTGGTCTCATTTGGTGAGTGACACAGTTGTGGATGTGATTCAGGACCTCATCCCAGGTCTTTAATGCCATTCTACAGTACACTGATACAACTAGAAGCCTTAGCTAGTCTTAGAGATTTAGGTACAAGAGCCTGACAAAGTAGCTCCTGACGGCAGACAGTTTTAGGCTACTATGAAATTGAGTATATAGAGCCTACGCTGCTGATACTTCAGATGTAGAAACTGGGTGAAGTGACCCCTCTGAAACCACAGCTAGTACATTTTGGAACCAGTTTTCCATCAAATTTTCATTCTAGCTTAATAAAAGAGGCATTATGAGGGTAATACTTACTTTATGCATTGATTTAAACTAAGTTGAGGAGTTTAAGAATAAATCTGATTTTTAGAACACAAAATTGTTTTGTATATCATTTTCTAATGCCAGGTAATCTTACCTTTCAGAGGCATCCTTCTCCTGGATCAAGTCAGCTTTGTACCCGTGATTACCATCAGCTTGCCTTCAGATCTTCCAGACAGGAAAAATAATTTAGATGAGAAAGCGTGTACTTAATACTGTGTTTACTTTGGAGTTACTGTTTTTTTAAAAAAAATTTTTAGTTGACCTGAAATTTGCCACTTGATCTTAATACCTTGTTTGTTTCCTTCTAAGAAAACTAAGTCAGTTGATTAATTGGTAAAGGGACACGCTGGCTGAGGCCCAAAGCTGACTTCCCTGTGCCTCTCTGTAAACATGCAGCCTTTTCAGAAGCTTCAAAATAAAACAGCTTTCCACCCTGAGGGCTACCATTGGTTTTAACTTCTGTGAAGTCACTTTTCCACACCTCGGACAGGATGCTGGCTGCCTTCACACCCATAGATAAACCAGGTCAGCTATCCTGAATAGCGAGATGATGAAATTCAGGGTGTCCTGAAGTCTCCAGATAGCATTCTTCAGAAAAGGACAAAGGAGTATCACTAACATTAGCTGTGCCTGCAAGCCTCAACAAAGCTGCCCAACCTGGTTTCAGGTCTTTCAGGGTTGAGTGTACCCTGCGAGGAAAATATCACTACCAAACATTTGTGTTACTCAAGTAATTTGACATTTTATAGATGCAAAACAAAAATTAAAAAGGCAGATTTCTATTTCAAGCACTTTACACTTCTATGGCCCCTTCCACTCAAAAATTGTTAGCACTTGTAAACGATGTGCTTTTTGTATCTGTGACAGCAGTACTATGTGAAGTCTGAAAAGAAAAAAGAAAATTCTACAAAAGTACTGGCTTACTATTGCTAAGTAGGCCCAGTCTGCCCATGCTGATTTGTACCGTTAACATTTTTCAAATAAACATTTAAATTGTTTATTAGACTGTGTTCATGTGTGCATCTATATTTAGTTACACTAAAGAGCAGTTTTCCAAGTGCGTTAGATGCAGGGTACTATTTGTTTTTTAGCTTTTGTTTGTTCTTATTTACAAAAATTGTTTGTCAGAAGAATGACTAGGGAAAAAAATAAATCTTAACTACCTGATATTAGACTGACCACAGTTATCATTTGAATGATCAGAATTATCCATGTTCAGCTGAAGTTGTTATAGTGAGGGAGGAAAGCTAGGATTTCCAACACACACATCCCTCTTCCCACTTAAGGAAATATTATCATAAGTTTAATGATGTCTCTGAGTTACTCAGATACATCTGGTCTGTGACAGGAACAATTTGAGAGTTGTCTCAAACTGACAGCACTGCAGTGGTAGAAGAAACATTTCTAACACTGAACTGCCTTGAAAAAAGACAAAATGAAAAAAACCAAAACAAAAAATACCACCCAAGCAGCACAGCATGGTATACGTCAGCAGAAGGTAACAGGGACGCTGCTCAAACTTCCTTTTTTTATTTTTTGTTCTAGCACCGTGTGGGTTTGTACTTTGCATTTACTTCCTCAAGCTCAGCGTCATTAGAGTGCAGGATCCCAAACATTTGCCAGAGACCCAGCCGAGAAAGGATGACAGAAGTGGGGGATGTGTCACAACTGGCTGGGTGCTTCAGGCAGGTGTGGAGCTGGGAGACACTGGAGCAGGGCAGCTGCTCTGCCGATCTGGAATGAGTGGCAGTGACTGACATCGCTGGAGCCTCAAGCAGTGCTTTCCAGGACCATACCACAAGAGAACTACCAGAACGGTAATGTAACCATGTAAGACACAGGTGATGCTAGAGCTACAGAGGCATCTGAATTGAGACTGCAATGTAGTGAAAGAAAACACGTGACAGAGGGGCAGTTGTCATCCATAGCTAAATGGGAAGCCGCTGAGACTCCAGCACAGGCACAGTGACTGCACAGACAAGAGGAACTGTTGAAGCAAGTCTGCAAACAGTCGTAGACAAACTCCTCTTCCATGTATATGGAAATTAATGTTCTTTCCACTGTATGAACATAGCCCCAGCCCCTTCATTAACAGTTCAAACAGATGTATAAGGCTGAAGTTTAGCTTCTTATAAAAAAATAACCCAAACAAGGAGTAGGATGAACACAATAATGACAGTTCTTCCTTACTGCCTAAGCATAGCATTAATTGCAATGCAGATGGAAATTTGGCAGCTGTTAGCATGTGCTCTTTGCATCCCTACTTATGAAACTGTAAACCAAGCACCTGCACACCAACAAGGAGATTTAACTCAATTCTAAACAGCTGCAACATAAATAAGCCTTAAGCCTGAAAAAGTCTTGGTACCGCTTCACAACTCACCCGATTTCCATGAGCTAAGTAACCCTCTTTTCTTCTGTATTGTGTTCTACAGTTACAAAGCACAAGGGAAGAAATACTACCATCATGTTAACAAAATTAAGTAAAAAAAAAAGTGCAAATCTTGAATAAATTAATTACCAGACAACATTGCTGTGCTATGGAGCTGGAGCTATCAAGTCTTAAGAAGTTATAGCACTAGTGTTCTGCTTTAGCATGTACATGGTTTTCCTGAGTGGTAACAGTCTCATGCCTTTCAGGGGACTGCTACTTTGAACTGGGACCACTCTGAACCATTTGTAAAACAGTTTACAAACTCCTTAACTGCAACTAACACAGTTAGGAAAGGGCAACTGTTTTGCATGGCAATCATGGCAGGTCTCATTTTCCCAGCGTATAAGCTGACAAGGACGCAGGTTCCCAGCTGGGGGAAAACAAACCAACACCCACCTCCCACCCTCAAAACCCAAAAAACCCCTCCAAACCCTCACTCTGTAGGATGGCAGTAGGTTTTTCAGAAAGGCAACATCTCTTACCTCCTCATGAACTATGGCTCTCACTGCAGCCCTTCTGTTCCATCACCCTCAGAATGCCTCTCCGCCTTTTAAACACACAGAGTTCAGGAGCGCTGGCCCTTCCCTCCATACAGGAGCTCCACTGGAGCGGGTGGGTATCATGTTCTGCGTTCCAAAACAAAATGAACCTCTGAGCTACAGATTCCGCATCTACCACTTTTTTCCCTTCCATCTACCATGTGTTACACAGGTGTTCATTTTGTTCATTTAGAGTGAACAGGGCTGGTTGAGCTGTAGAACTAAACTACTGCTTTTGAAATGAGGTTTACTTTAGAAGTTCTCAAAATATATCATGCTTTCAGTTTAAGCATCCCCTTACTGGACTGCTTCCAAGGACTAAAGCTTGTGTACTTTCCCATCTTACTTGGGTGAATATTTTGGTTTGCTTCCAATGGATTGATTTCTGAGAAGAAATCTCTTCCTGCAACACAACTGACAGCTGTATACTCATCCTAACAGACAAACAGAAAAATAAGTATCAAGAGAGGCCACCTCTTCAAAACACTGCATCTTTTTCTTAAATCTGACACATATGGCTATCCTTTTGAAAGGAAAGAGGTAAACTTGTTTTCCATTTTGGAGATGAAAGTCTACAAATACACACACCTGTATACTCACCTGAACGTCTTTCCTTCATGTCTGGGTCCATCATGCCAGGTCCACCCAGGGATTCAGGAGCTCTCAACAGTATCTCCTTCTCTGTCTCACTACAGCGTCTCATTATCGGCACTGCTGAAAGTCCCTTCGCAGTGTGTCCAGCTGTCACTCACGACATAGTGGTGAATTTTAAGTACATTAACAAGATGTTAATGATAATGGCATTTATACAACTCATTTGCCTCCTACTCAGGCTGCCAGTTTTCCTTTTCATTACCATTTGTCCTTTCCGTCTGCCTTACAGCATCTGAACGGACACGTGAGCAGGAATTCCACAGCCAGTTTCGTACAGCATGTATCTACTGGCTGAAAGAAGTCTAGACATACTTGATTCATGAAAAAGTATGAAGCTTAGCTGTAAGGAGAACTACAGCTGGCTGCTCCGAGATGAGCTAGCAGGATGAAGTGTTTCCAAAATAATAGGAGATGGACAGAGATGATAGATGTTTCAGTTACAATGACCACTGTTGAGCAAAATCTGAAATTATGACCTAAATGGTCACTGTAGAACCATTCTTGGAGAATTGCTTCTCCATTCCACTTGTCAAGTAATGCAGAAAGAGAATTTAGATTTTACATCAGTTGTAAAGTCAGTTCGAGTATTAAATTTAAGTAATTTTAAAATCTTGAAGATCAAAGCAGATCCCATCAGTATCTTTCACACTTGAGAAAAACGGGTAACTTTTGAGCTAGTTCAAAGACAGCTAGACAGAATTTGCATTTAAAAAAATTTATTTAGACATCTGTTGCTCTTAAATTACAAAAGTTAAAAAGAGCACGCAGTGCACTGACACACTACTTATTACTTCTAAAGCTGTTTTAAGACGTAAGGTGGCTTCTTCAAGATAAGACAACTCAGCATGATCCAAATTCAACTATCCACTTCTCATATTTCTCAATGTCCGCAGCAGATACAGATTTAGAAACTTTCTTCAAAGCTATTTCAAAGTCTTCCATAGTTGTTGGCATGTGCATTTCATCTCGGGAAAGGTTTCTTATTTCTTCTGGTGTCAAGCCTTCAATACGCCTTCTCATAGCCATCAACGATGCATCTCTATTAAGGATGCAAAAACACCCCAAAAAGTTAATCAATATAGGATGACAAGTTCAGTTGTTTGAAAGGTTCAACATTAAGCTGTTGCATTCAACAACGTGCAATAAAGAATAGTAAACTTCTACAGCAAGATCTCCAAGTGCTTGTACAACCTCCAATACCATGCTATCCGTATTTTTTAAACATGGATTTATCCTCACTGGATCTTTGAATAGCTACTATTTACAGGCTAGGCAAAAGAGGTAAAGACTAACTGGTTTATCTAATGCCACTGCATGCCTATGAGTACCTGCTGTTTATAGTATTTTTAAATAGGAACAAGGCAGAGTAATGGTTTCACTCCTACATATAGAAGTGGCTGCAATGTTTTGAATGTTTCCTGGTCCAAATAGGAGGCCCACTTTAGACAGAGACAGTACCTACCTCCAACCTATAAATTCACAGCTAAATGTTAAACTACAAAATCTGTTCAGCCCATGGCTCCTCAAACTTCTGGCCTCAATAAGCATTAAGTGTCTTTACAAGTGTGTCATTTTCTTGCTGCATTAAGTTTGCATTTGGATTTCCAACAGTAATCTCAGTAGCAGCAGGTGACGAGCTGGTGAGGCGATAAATGGGTAACACTGAAAGACTAAAGTTCCTGCTAATTCATTCTTATATAGCTTAAAATAAGAAAATGCTACTTATTTTGTCTAGCAGTAAAAAAGATGGAAGGGTAATCCTGGCAATATCACAACAGTATCATACCATATTGGTAGGTGAGAATCCAAAGAGAAGAACTTATACATTGTCTTCTAGGAGGATTTAGAAAGGTGTTTTCAGCATATTCTGTTTCAGTTCTACCCCCTCCACCCAAAGGAAACCATAACTGACAGACTTCATGGATTTACTAAATAATTGTTAACAACTAGAATGCATAATACAATAACTGGAATTTCAGAACAACCCAAGAAAATTGCCTTTTAAACTCCATCTTAGTCATATATCACCACGCTTTGCTGTTCTGTCATCATTTGTGAACTAAAAGCCTGTGTAACACAATGGGGGGGCAGGGGGCAGGAAATGGGGGGAAGCATCCCATGCATCTAATGGCCTCCAGACAGCAGTTCACCAAAAAAAAAAAAAAAAAAAAAAAAGCCACAACAAAAACAACCCAACCAAACAAAAAACACCCACCATACCCCAACACACCCACAAAATTGAAGTGCAGCTGCCGCTACTTTCTCCTGTAAAGTCATTTTGCTGACAGTCATTCCAACACCAACTCTTAGTGCTTCCCCAAATGCACCCTTAGTGCCTGGAGGAGCACCAAAGCTATATTCAAAAAATAAGCAGCCACACACTGGAACACGCAGCAGGGGTCAGTTCCATTCCAAAAGCCTTTCAACCTTCACAGTCTGCTCAAAACGATTCAAAGTCAGTTCATACTCACATCTAATATGCAGTTTAGATGGATTTAACATTTCCTGAATGTCTTTATTTTAAAGTTTCACCTTCATTTTCCATAGTTATATTCTGACTGGTTTTCACTCTGGCTCAGCAAACTTTGGATTTCCCCTCAAATTCTTTAAGGTAGGAGAATAATTGGAGCAAACAAGAGTTCTTGGCTCACTTTTTCTTAAGTTTTGCTTGTGTCACTAGCAAGGACTGTTACAGTCTACAAGTTTGAACTTCACTGTGCTTATATACTGTATGTCTGAACCATACAAAAGCACTTTTAAATCAGCCATACGTCTTTTTGTCTCAATTGAAATTAAACAATCATGTTTACAATCTGTTTTTCCTGATACCATTAACAAAGTGTAAATACACAGGCTAGTACGAGTACTTTCTTACTAATTTCAAATCATGAACACCCAAACCCCAGTTCGCCTGGATTTCTGGTTGCTGCCACCTCAGTCATCTCTAAGGGAACTGCCACAAATGAAAGACTCAAGTGGTTCTTTGTGGGGTTTTTTGCTTTTGCTTTGGTTTTTTAATAGTATTTGTACAAATGGACTTTGATTAAAAAATAAAAAGCAGCAGTGTGTGTGTGTATATATATGTATGTGTGTGTGTATACATATATATACACATGAAATTCACTCAAAAACATTACAAGTATTCTGACTTTTAAACAAGTGTATTGGTATCCAGTATAAAATTAATTACAAACAACGAACACCGAACAGACCAGAGGAGACAAACTACAGCTAAAATGCACAAAGCAGCAGGCCAAATAAACTCTCTTTCATATCACATCAACCTATTAGCACAAACTCCTTTCAAAGCACAAACACCAAGACCGAGCAAAAGAACACCACAAATTCATCTCACAAACCTACAAATGAAACAAATCTGTTCAATGCTGACACAGAGCAACTAACATACCACTTTTTTCCCAGACACTGTGTAAGGATTGTTCAGGAAATAGTACTGAGCCTCCAAACTCTTAGTTGAGCCTTAAGGGACCCTGCTGATAGAGCCTTCGGTGGCAGTTTTGCATACAGGTGCATTCATCCCTGTGGCACAGCATATTGTCCTCTCACTTGTGCTGACACGTGTTTGCAGAGCGGCATTAGGAATCAAGGCAAGAAATGGATCTGCATTTGAGTAAAGCGATGAGATGTTTTTAATCCAGAACAGTTCTCTTACCCTGTTCAAAGTACAGGCCCACAACAGTTGCGCTGGCACAACTTGGAGCTCAAGCCTCACACTGCCACACTTTCGTGCTGCCTCCAAAGCCTGAAAGCATGGTTACACAGCTGCTTATTAGATGACAACAGCCTCTTAAGAAGTTTTGGTTCTTTGTCTCTTACTGCCGATCCCATAATTTGCCACCGCTGCAACTGTGCCAGTGCAAATCTTTAGATGTAAACCAGATGACTGGTATTAGTCTCAAAAGATCCATCCTTTCCTTCCCTTTTCAATTTTTGAAAGAAAAGATTGAGGGATGGGTTAGAAGGTATTTTTAGTCAATTATTTCAGGAATCTTGGTTACAGAATAGGCCCACGAATGATGGTATGCAAACAGTACTGAGGAAAAGGGGAGATGGAGGAGGTAGAAGAAAACCTAAGTCAGCCTCATCGCTAAAGCCAACGTGCTGAGTACACAGCTCTCATACTGTCACACAACATGGTATATACCTTTTCTGTGTCATGGAGGAAGAACACGCCGCATTTTTACTTTAGTTATTCTGGCCTCTGCCACTATCACCTCTTACACATGGATGTTCTGCTGAAGTAGCACAACCTCAGTGGAATGACTGCAACTCTACAAGTTAAAGTCTACCATCCTGTGCATATTCCTCACGCAAGGAATTTGGTGTACATGAAAGAACGTGAAATTTTACCTAAATCACAGCCTGTTTAGATTACTATGTTGCAATGGCTCTTCATCATTATAATATGAAAATATCAAATGGAAATGTAGGTAAATATTTAAGGTAGTGTTTCACCTTTCAGCCATACATAGAAGACAACTTACAGTCTGTTTTACCCAACAACTTTAATGATGTAAATTAGTTACTTTACAAACAGTTTTCGCAGAGTTTGTAGCAGTAGTAATACAAATGTTAACATACCTGCATACGTTGGTAATGTCTGCACCTGAATAACCCTCCATTTTCTCAGCTATATTTGCAAGGTCAACATCATCAGCCAGTTCCAGCTCTCGCAAATTTATTCTCAGGAGTTCCTCTCTACCTTTTGCTAATCAGAGAACAGAAAATTGAGTCTATACAACTTGCTTTCTGAAGATAAATAATGAATTGAAGAAGGATAAGAGGGAAGAATGAGAAAAAGGACACTGTAGTTGCTACAAAGGTAAATGTTCAATGTTTAGATTTTACCTGGTCCTGAATTCATACATGAATTTACATACCTGTATCAATTAGATTTTTAAACCAGGTGATCAGAACTAAAGAAATATTGATAAAGTTTAGTCTTTTCAACCACTCCTCTCCCCAAGTTTTCATACCTGATGGTAAAGGAATGTAAATTCTCTTTTCTAGTCTCCGTCTCAGGGCTTCATCAATATCCCAAGGAAAATTAGTAGCAGCAAGTACCATGACCATCTTGGAAGGATCATCATTTTCAGTAGCCCCTCCAACACCTGCATTGGAGAAAAGAAAGTAAAATGTACATGTTTTGTGAAATTTCATGTATTGATAGAACAATATCCACAACTCTATAATATTAAAGCAGCTACTCTATTGCATTTTAGCGAATCCAAGTGCAATAGAATCACTAAGAGCAACAGAAGTCAGTTTTTCATCTGTATAACAGCCTGCAAGCAAGAATGGAGACTCAGTTTAATTAGAAGCAGTGGCATAGGCCACTGCTCAGGTCAGGAAGTTCCTCTCTATCATGGCTGGAACGCTTTTACAGCAGAGTTGTTTGTATTTCTGTCATTACAGTCTTTGAATTTTCACATCAATGTCCTGTAACAGCATGTGAGGAAAAACAAAACAACCCCCCAAAACCACCACCACACCAAAGAACAGACACCCATGCCCTGCCCCCCCAACATTATTCACCAACAGCCATGCAAAAGCAGCATTACTCTCCTACAAAGTTTCTTCACTTCTGAATTCAGGCCAAACGTTTCACATCCACAGGTAGACACCTACAAACTGCTGAAGTGAATGTTTAAATTTGGTAGACTGAATCACAACTTCTCAGAGGCAGAGAGAACACCTCAGTCTCTACTGTGAAACTGCTGCTGTATGAAGAAGTTCATTTCATTAAACTTGCTGCCCTCTGCATTTACTGTTTTTGCTTATAATCATAGGGTTGGGCTGTGGAATAGCCATTGCTCCTAGTCTGCCTGAAAATTTGCATATAAAACACCATTTATGAACAGTCAAGTAGAAGGACTTCAAATAGTTGTTACTAATAGAAATAGCTTATATACATACTTGAGTTATGAGAACAGTATTACAACTCTGCTGCTATTTAAAGTCAAACATAAAAGGGTATCAACATCAGAGAACCAGAAATAAATATACAAATCTTCTGACTCATAGAATTCTATCACAAATTACTCCATAGATGAGCACTTTTCAGTTGCTCCTTTCCTTCTCCCTGCTCAGAGTATAAAAAGGATGCCTCTATGGCAACTTTGCACAGTGTTACCTACTTTTAAACTTGGTTAATACTTCACATATCAACAAAATAGCTGCAATGAACTCAATGTTTTAAAAAGAAAACTCTCCCAACCACTTCTATAAAAAAAATTGCCTTCATTTTTTATTTTTATCTTGGGGGGGGGGAGGGGGGAGGATCCCAAAGAAGTTAAGTGTAACGATTGCCTTTAAAGTTTAAATTGGAAGAGGTGACAGTTCTTTTAAACCACTTTTTACTTGGTTTTGGAGAAGTAAGCGATATGCTAGGTAAAGACTGAGAGGAGCATTTAATACTTTTTTTCTTCTGCAGTTCTGAAATCTTGTATTTTCCACTGAATCTTCATTATTCTGGACCAGTAATATAAGGTTATTGCTCAGATGCTAAAAGATTGTTAAGTTATTGCCATCTTTTTTCCTTCCACACTGGCAGTTGGAAGTGTATTTGTATCTTTTAATCCCAATTTTATGTAAGGCTTTCAAACAAATTGCTTCTGGAGAATGAAGGGGTTTTTTTGGCTTTTTGGTTGGGTTTTTTTTTTCCCTCCCTCAAGATTCCTGCAGTCCAGCACTTCCCAGTGATCAGGTTATTTACCATCCATCTGAACTAGCAGTTCTGCCTTCACACGTCGGCTAGCTTCATGCTCCTCTGAAGTTCCCCTGCGACTACAGATGGAGTCTATCTCATCAATAAATATAGTTGTCGGGGCATAAAATCGAGCCTAAAGAAAGCAAAAGATAAAACAGAAACTGAAATGGGAGTCTACTCACATTTAAGAGAAAGCAGCATATTCAGAGCTGAATAATGACACATTTATCCCAAAGAATCAGCTCGTAAGTATCAAACAATACCTAACCTTCCCTCTCTTTGACCATTGCACACAACTATAGAGCAGCTGTGCATTCATTAATAACATTTGAGCAGAACAGTTTCTGGTGAAGTCCTATAATTGCTAGGGTTATAAACAAACATTTAGTAAGCTAAAGGCAGTTTCACACATTAGGAATAACATTTTAACTGTGGAAGTCATCACAGAATGCCTGAATAAGAGCCCAGTTAAAGCTAAGATGAATGTTAGGCTAGGACACCATGATATGGAACCTGTCCAAGAGACAGGTCAACTGCAAAATAACTCTAACCTTTCTGAAAACAAGAGAGGTCAAACACAAGGATCTGCAACAATAAAAGCTATTGTCCTACAGCAGTTGAGATGCTGTCCACTGTGTATATGCATTTTTGATCAATAGGCATATCAACTCATTTAATACGATCAAACTATATTGCAAAAAATCTTTTATTTCCTGACTTTTCTGCTACTGTAATTGCAACTCTGCTGCCCCCTTCAGTACTGGGCACTTCAAACACTGCATGCAAACCTGGTAACATGAAAAAAAGACTACATGTTCTGAGCCAATTTCAAGTGTTATGTGTTCTGAAGCCAGCTACAGTTTGGAAGTCCACTTATTTTAAGCACAAACAAACAAAAAACCACCCACAACAACAAAACGTGCACAGCCTAAGTAGGGTTCTCACCCAGAAAGCAATTAGATTTTATCTCCAGTTTTATATTCAAGTATGTTCTACAGCACTCATCAGCTTATAGCAAGCTACCTCCAATGTAACAAGCTAACCCTGAAAATAAAGATGACCTGATTTTTCAGTTTTTATAAAGCTATTTAGGAATAACCAGATCTTGAATGTACATGGCCAAATCAGAAGGTCCTAAAGCGTTTGAAGCTTGGAGAGCTGTTTATGTATGCTATGAGTTCTACATTTTGGTAAGGTTTCATTATTCCAGAAGTAATTCTACTTCATTATCTCACTATTTATGTTCAAAAACTTCAATCACCATTTCAAACAGCAGACGAACAAGTTTCTCAGATTCTCCTCTGTATTTTGAGGTAAGTGTGGAAGAAGAAACATTGAAAAAAGTAGTCTTGCATTCAGTGGCTACAGCTTTTGCCAGGAGGGTCTTTCCAGTACCAGGAGGACCAACCATCAGCACACCCTATTAAAATGAAAAATAACCACTTTTAGGGCAAGAATCAAAACAGAGACAATTTCACAGTTTGTTTAATAGTGTAATATTAAAGTACTAGATGTAAACTTTCCCTTGAAAAGTTATTCAAAGGTAAGTAATTAATTGCTACTGCTTACTTGCAACAATATAGTTGCAGGCAGTGAATTTATGTGTAACATCTTTATTTTGTTAGTACTATTTACCATAAATTTTGTAACTAAAAAGTGGAAAGAATTTATATAAAACTGTAAACCGCCTGAAATTTCTTGTTCCACCAAGATACAATCTCAGAATCTTACTTTTATGATCACAGGATCAGATTTTTTCATACCTTCCATGGTCTTCTAATTCCCTTAAAAAACTCTGGCATCCACATTGGTAAAACTACAGCTTCTTTAAGCAGCTTTTTGGCTTCTACTAAATCAGCAATGTCATCCCTGACAAAAAAAAAAAAAAAAAAAAAAGTGTTTGACAGATTCAGAGAGGCTTCAAAAGAATCAGTCCACAGCTCAAAACAATATGCAAGTAAACTTGATTGTTATGTAATGGCTCTTCCATAATTCAGGAAATGAGTTGGATTTATTTATGTTCTAGTGGCAAAAGCCTACAACTACAGTTGACATCTGGCTAGTAGACTCCAGCTGGATGCAAAAGCAAAGAGACACACATTAACTATTTCACTAGAGCACTGTTGTTCTTATTCACAGAAAGTATAAGCAGAATAAGGCAAGTTGGTTAAACTTATGCTAGTTACAGATGATGCTTTCTTCTTTTGCCAATATGTTGGCTGTCCCTGAAACGTGAATACCATCTTTCATTGTTAGAAGAAAAATTTACTGAAGGCTAGTAAATGGAGCTGAATTAAAAAGAATTTTTAGAATTCTTTTTCAGAGTTACAAATGTATTAATTCTTAGACACCTTATAGGCTGGTCTTATTTTCCTGAGGGTAACTCTCAGGGCATTCCACTTAACAGCATGTGCCCAAGTAATATTTTCATTTCAAAATATATCTATATGAAGAATTAGTTTCAAATCTGAAGTTGTAATTTAAGATTCAATATAAAAACTGAAACATATATTTATATATGAAACTGAAATACATGACAGTTACATGCATACCAAGTTGTCTGTGGGATTGTTCAGGTTTTTTTTAAAGCCTACTTTATTTGCCAAAAGGTTTTTGCTAATTTAATCCTCACAAAATCACCTAAGCTTGGAAACATTTGGAACACAAAACCCCCTTTGTATAAGGTTTAATATTTAACATGTTTATGTAAAGGTACTGACACGTGGTTATACTTTACACTGGCGGTTACATCACATCCAGCAAGATTTCAAATGGTTCCTATATTGACATAACTTCTTTGTTAATTGGTTTTCTATCTTCGTATGCCCTGGGTAGCAAAACAGGTTTTTAAATGAAGAGACACTGGCAGACACTAGAATTTTATACGTTGCAAAAAAGTACCTCAAAAATCGATTTCAGGACTCTTAGAACTAAGTTTGAGCAGCTTTGTATGGTCAGGTTGGACAGGGCTTTGAGCAACCTGATATAGCATGCCCCCCCAACGGCAGGGGGTTGGACTAGCTGATCTTTCAAGGTCCCTTCCAACCCAAACTATTCTATGAATCTATAGGTGGAAAAACACAAAATATAAAAATACTCAACTACACAAGAAGTTTAGTTGCCTATTTAATGAGTAAAGAAAACCTGTAGGTACTTCTTATATGCAAGCATATGCTAAAATACTTAATTCTTGTCCTGTTGCATAAGAGGAAAAAGAAACAACTCAGAAAGACTGGCAGCAGTATTCAAACTTACCATCGAATGTTGGGATTCTGAGAAATTATATCTCTTTCCAAAGCTTCTACTAAATCTTTATCATATCCAGTACTATCAAATTTCTTTGGTTCAGACTCTGAAATCTCAGGTGTGGATTTGTTCTACATATAAAGGATATAACAACATAAATACATAACAACGGTTATGCTACTAATGGATTTTTATAACAATTCCACAATAGCATCATATTTCTAGAAGAGGGCAACATAAACCAGCATGAAAATTATGAAGCATCCATATTACTGCTGCACTGCAGGATCTATGTGGTTCACCAAGACTTGTGTACTGCCCTGGTCCCATTTCCTTCTCTCCAAAGGCAGCCTATTGTACTGATGCAGTTTCTTTGCTTTAGTAGGTAATCAAAACTGCACACACCTATCCCAGTCTAACAGTGTTCACCTTCTCCCAGGGAAATCAAAAACTGAGACAGTAGCTGGGTAGGGGGAAATCATGAGACTGAATCAGAAAGTGTCACACTGAGCTAGGGTGTCTCAAATATATATCTCAAATATATATGAGACACAAAAAAAATTAAGCAGGACTTCCATATGTAGGACGAGCAAAGGTGATCTGCAGGAAGACCACAGAAGTACAAAAGAGCTCACTGACTGATACAGAAGCATAGACAAGAACAGCAGAGAAGCAGCTCTGCAGCAGAGCAGAAGCAAAGAAGCTACGCAGTTGAAGGGGCTCAAACAGCAGAGACCATGCAACTGAAAGGAAATAAAATGCACTAGACATACCCCGTTTTTTTAACACACTTAACAGCAAGCACTGGTGATGACAGAACAACTGTAAAAAAGAAAAAAGACCTATCCTGTCTCTGTGTGTGCATATCCTTAGCGAGAGAGGATTATCATTCAAAGACAATGTAATTTAGCTCTTAATAAAAGGAGTAGCTTACATAGCTAAACAATTCCACCCTTGTAGTTTATGCTATTTCCACAGGCCATGACATCTTGCCATATCATAAGGTTGCTGAAGCTCACAAACTCTATTACATGGATATTTGATTTATTCAGACTCTGGAAAACTATGAATTTAGTGTCTTCAGTATGATCTCTTACTCTGGTCATCAGCTAAATTTATGGAGACCAGAGCACAAGCAAAAATTAAAGCACTCTGACTGCAAAGACTAGATCATAGATCATTCTCTCTCATGAAGTATGTTGGGGTTTTGTTTGCTTTAAACTGAAAATAGTCCGGAGCTAATACCAGATCTCAACAACAAAAAAAAGTTTAAAAAGGTAAAAAGTAAAGGTCCCCTTTAAGATTAAATAAATCTTGAAATGCTTTGGAACAGGCAAGTCAATCTCAGTCTAAGATATGGGAAAGCAATTAAAGAACCCACAAGGACATCCACATTTGAATGAGCGCCATTAGGCTCGGTTTCAGTAATTCAGTGATATAATTTTAAACAACTATCTCCAAGTTGCAATAAACAAGCCCACATTTACCAGATCATTTCCTCCAGATGAGGGTTTGGGGATTTTTTTTTTTTTTTTTTTTTAATTAATCCGTAACCAAGACTGTCCGTAAAGCAAAGATACCTTACAAGGTGAGATACAAATCAGCATGCTGACTTTGAACAGAAGAAACACTTTATAGGCATCTAATTTTATAATACACTCAATATTAAGAAAGCAAGACTGAATTTCTCAACTTCACTAAGTTACTTGCAAGTTTACCTTTTCCTCTTTTCCTTTATTTTGCTGATCCTTTTTTTCCCGGCTGCGGACCACCTTCCCTTTATCATTGGGATTTCGAGAGGATGGACGGTGAGGGCCTCTGACAGCTGCACTTCCACGATTATTGTGACCTCTGCAATCACTGCATGGAGCAGACTGACGTTTTCTGGGTCCTGGCGAAGGTCTAATTAGTTGTAACATATGCAAAAAGCCTCAGTGTAAAGTCACTGGTGAGCACTACATAACCAAATCAAGTGGTTACAAACTGAAAAGCCATTTTGCTCAAGACAAAAATCTGCATGTCAGAAACAAGACAGACATTTTTAGATAGTCACTAAAAATCCATTTTCCCTTTGCCAAAAGCTCAGGGCTCATTTGCTTAAAACAAGCTTCTTGCTTTGTATATTTAATAAATAAAAGTAATCCTAGTATTATGGAGCTGGGGGGGGGGGCACAAACAAAACCAAAAAACCGAATGTATTTTCTCCTTATCACAATGGTCCTCACTCTCCTACCCAAAGAAATGTAAAGGTTTCTTGGGAATTACAGTTTTATTTTCACTTCCTAGGAAAGAAAATGTGTATGTGAGGCCTCCAGTTGTTTGAAACTACACTACTTTTAGAAGCACATATTGAATAAACCAGTATCGTGACTGGTATTATGGATTTTGTTTTTAAAATTCAGTTTCTTCCCCATACAAATCCGTTACGCTCACAGATATACTTTTTCCATGGGCCTTCCTAAATTCCAGCATTAATAAGCTATCAGTCAAGCTTAAGTTCAGGGATATTTCTTGACAACAGAAAATGGAAGATCCTGATTTGGAGACCATCTACTAGAACTAGAAGATATGTTTTGACACATCATTCAAGATATATCAGGATCCAGCACCTTCATAAAAGTTGTCTTTAATTGATTCACAGCAGCAAGTTTGTCAGAACTGTACATATCTCTTCAGGGTGAAATGCCTATTAGGCAACATGAATATGCTAATTATAAGATCATGAGTGTTGAAGTCTTTTCACTCTCCAAATGGAATATCTACCAACCTATACTTCTATTTATGAACACCTAGCCACCTCTGAATTCTACCCCAAAGCTCAAAATAAAGGAATAATGTGATTACACATCTAATTTCATAGAATCATAGAATGGTTTGGGTTGGAAGGGACCCTCAGAGATCATCTAGCCCAACCCCCCTGCAGTGAGCAGGGACAGCTTTAACCAGATCAGGTTGCTCAGAGCCCCGTCCAACCTGACCTTGGATCTTTCCAGGGATGGGGCCTCCACTACCTCTCTGGGCAACCCACTCCAGTGCTTCACCACCCCCATTGCAAAAAATTTCTTCCTTATATCCAGTCTAAATCTATCCTCCTTTAGTTTAAATCTATTCCTCCTTGTCCTGTCACAATAGGCCTTGCTAAAAAGATTGCCCCCATCCTTCCTATAGGTCCCCTTTAAGTACTGAAAGGCTGCAATAAAGTCTCCCCGCAGCCTTCTCCTCTGCAGGCTGAACAACCCCAGCTCTCTCAGCCTGCCCTTGTAGGAGAGGTGCTCCAGCCCTTGGATCATTTTGGTGGCCCTCCTCTGGACCTGCTCCAACAGGTCCATGTCCTTCTTGTGCTGAGGGCCCCAGAGCTGGACGCAGTACTCCAGGTGAGGTCTCACCAGAGCAGAGTAGAGGGGCAGAATCACCTCCCTCGACCTGCTGGCCACGCTGCTTTTGATGCAGCCCAGGATACGGTTGGCTTTCTGGGCTGCAAGCGCACATTGTTGGCTCATGTCCAGCTTTTCATCCACCAGTACCCCCAAGTCCTTCTCCACGGGGCTGCTCTCAACCCCTTCATCCCTCAGCCTGTATTGATATCGGGGGTTGCCCCATCCCAGGTGCAGGACCTTGCACTTGGCCTTGTTGAACCTCATGCAGTTCATGCAGGCCCACCTCTCCACCTCAATTTGTGAGTTCTGCTATTTCTGTATAGGAATTACTCAATACTTCACCAGCTGGCAAGACAAATGGAACAGGAATAGTTCTCTCAAGTCTTTTTCTTTTTAGAAACATGAGTTTGTGTATCTCTTCTCTAGAAAGCTTCAAAGTGTTAGGAAAGTTCTACCTCCCAGGCTCTATTCTTCCAGAAGGTTTGAATGAAATTGGCTGGCAGTGTTCATTATTATGAAAGTTATTAAATGAGATAAACAGAAACAGTGTGATCAGACAAGACCCATTTCTTTCAGAAAGCAGGCTTAAAATAAATCAATTAAAAAAAATGTAAAAATGTACCCGTAAAGACTGAAGTTACCCATCTGTGAGAAATAGCTTCTAAGTTCAAAGCCTCAAAGAACAGTTTGAGAGCACAGCTAAGCTGATCTAATAATCACTTTCTGTCAAAATGCACAGTCCCATGTGTGCTGTCATGCACTCCTGTTCCCTCCTTCGTGGTACCACTGGCATGTGTTAGAACCTCCAATTAACCAGTTCAGATAGCTAACCTCAGGAAAAAAAACAACAACAAAAATGAAACAAACTAAAAGCCAAACCAAAAAAACCCCACACTAGGCCCAAAAAACAGTGTCTTTTTTGCCAGTTTAGCATCCTGAGCCAGCTAATCAACGCCAACGAGGACAAAAGTCAAAAAAAACCCAGGCAGCTGTGGAGGGCAGGACTATCCTTTCAGGAGCAGCAACATTGTCAAACCACGCCACAAGGCCTTGGTTTCACCAGGTTTAACCCAGCATAATTCAAAACTACTTCTGAAATAAGCAGGCTTGCCGGCAGCTGCTTGTTCCCACCCCTTCCCTTGAGTTTACGCTAGCCCAACTGACCAGTTCATGAAGGAGATCAGGGAACCACCTTGCTACACAAAAGAAACTGAGCTTGGACACTTCTAGATTTTACTGTTATTCTGATAATACTTCTTCATCCTTTTCATATCAGCTACATGCAGAATCATTTTAAAGTTGATGAGAAGATCAGTTCAGGAATACAGCTGGGCTTCCATGGAATAACAAGTTTATCTTAAGTCAGGGTGGGGGGGAAAGCTTGACATTAGTCAAGCCTATATAAGACAAAAGCCCCAGAATATTCTGAAGTAGGCTGCCTCAAAATGACACCTCCTTCACCACAAACAGTGGCAAGCTGCTGGTGTAAGTGTTACACATCTAAGTTCTAGGACAAAAATTACACAGGAACAGGCTGAAGTCAAAGCACACTTTGCCCTGATAAACGTTAATTTAGGTCTTCAGGTTTCCTCTTACCTACGTTCAGTAGGTACTGGCAAAGACCAGACTTCTGCATCATGAGCTGGTAATTCTTGCTGTGAAGCTTTCAATGGAGTACTGTCTAGTTTAAAACTCTCTAGTGTTTTCATTATATCTTTCACATGCTTAGCTTCCACACTTATCTCCTGCCAAACCTGATTTAAAAAAAAAAAAAAGTAGATTAAGCACATTGCAAATAAGTTTGTAACAGTCCTCTGTTCAAGCCCATGTAAAGCCTGGATGGATTCCACAAGATTTCACAAGCTACCTGATTCTACTTCAATAGACAAGAATAACGCACATCAGATATTAAGGAGGCTTTTCTGCCTTCCTCAGCACACTTAAAGAACAAACAAATAGATTTTGGATTTAACACCAAAGAGACTTTTAACAAATTTTGCATATTAAACAAGTACGACAGAAAAGAGCGCAACCTAATAATGAAAAAAAAAAAAGATGGTTTGTGCTAAGGATAAATTAACATGGTAGCTACAACTCAGTTTCTATTAAGAATCTATAAGTCACACTACTAAAACACTGAGAGGGAAGTAAGACTATTCAAAATGACACCAGCCTAAAAAACTTTAGCATAACAGGAACACTTATCAGCAAGAAGCTGACAAGCCAGGCAGTGCACTGGCTCCCCACGGCTGTGTTCCATTGCCTGTTTTGTCATTGTCAGCGCAAGAAGTCATAAAGACGACTTAAATAAGTCTATATAACAACAAAAAAGCCTATATATAATAGCACTACAGTTTATCAGAGAATGGTGTAAGTATTTTTATACTTTTGTTTACCATAAGATAGGCAATTTTTGCTACTTTAATGCTTTTCCCTCAAAATGTCCCAGAAAAGTGCTATTTACCTGTTGCCATTTCTGCTGCAGATACGTATCTCTGACAGAGTAGAGGTACTTATTCATTTGGTCAAGAACTCCCTGGTAGTAGACCATCGCAGAGTCATAATTTCCCAGTAAGGCATATTCACGGGCCAGCTTTACATTCTCACTGATCATAACAAGGCTCATGTTCAACATGAAGCTGAAAAAAATAGGAAATATTAAGGGGAAAAAAAAAAACCTCCCAGGACAAATTTTTGCAACCATTTTCATATGCTCATTACATTATTTGGCATATCAAAATATAGAAGCTGGAAATATACTGGTTAGAAAAAGGTCCTAGAACAAATGTCATCCATATAAAGAGATAATTGTTTCTTCATAGAATTGTTTCATGCAATGGAGATTCTGTTGAGAAGGGTATACAGGATATGTAGATTTAAATGCACCGTTGCAAGTCACAATCGTATACTCTCCTTCCCTGTTTATTCTATTGTGAGATAAATTGGTGTTTTACTGTTAGCACTACAACATTGTCCACACTACAATGGCCCGCAGTTTAAAAAAAAACCCAGCAAACAATAAACCAAAGCCCTTCTTCCAGATGCATTAAGTTTTGTTAATTTTTTTGTATTAATGTTCCATGCATACAAGTTTAACAGTCTGATTTTGCCTCATGGAGAATACTATTTCTCTATTTGTTTGTTTTTACAGTTCTTCAGTTTTATTTATTGTTTCTTCAAAACAAATATCTGTCTTCCATGTACAGTTTGCACCTCCCTATCACCTTCATTTTTACACTTAAGAGATTCTTGAAAAACCTTGAGGCTACTAAGTTATCACTGAATGGTACGGAAAGGCCACAATTAAACATTTAGTGTGTAGCTACCCGCTTTATTTAACATATTGTTCAAACCATGCTACTTTTCCCCACCAGTGGGTTGGTTTTTTTTTTTTTGAGCAAACATCATGGACTGTGACCACTTCCACTTTGTAGCATCAGCAGAATCTGCACTTTTAGATTAAAATAGCACAGAATTATTATTTATACAAATACAGCAATAAGTAGAAGCAGTAGACTTACTCTTTACGGTACAGCCACTGTCCATATAGCAGTCATCCTATGTTCTTATCCATTACGTATACATCCCATCCCCCTGTCTCCACTTTTTCTGTCTCTTGGTCACCAAGAATTTCCCCACTCTTCTCCTAATTTCCTAGAACCAAGCACAGAAAACACTGAAATAAGCAAATAAACATGCCTGCAAGAGAGCTGTCTTGCTCTCATTTCAGTACCTGTACCCAGTACCAGTAAGAAGCAATCACAGACAAGCAATTACAGCTAAGCCCTGGGATGAAGCATACTTGATACAGATCAACTATTTAAAGAATGTAAGAGGTACTAAACTCACATGCGCAATAAACAGACTTAAGACTGAACACATTTCAAGACCAGGTCACGGTCAAATTGGATGCGTTATTAGAGGTTTCAGAAGCCACACTTTACACACACCAGACAATCTACTGCTAAAATATTAGCTCCGCAGAGTAAAGAGGAGCTGGTAAGTATAAATCAAACATTTTAAGACTTCCACTCCTTCTGTCCCCTTCCCAGGTACCATTATGCACAGACACACAGCTGATCCATGCCTGAGCCAACATCCTCTTTTTTCCTTCGTTGCTCTTCCTTCCCTAGTTTTCCTTGAAGCAGAGAGCTGCTGTGAAAAGTTTCAGCCCAAACAGCAAAACTCTGGCGGCAGCAGAGCTGAAGACAGGCCTCTGACAGCCCACACCCATCCACACAGAAAGGACCCATGGGGTTGAGTCTGGAAACCTGCTATCATATGAACCTGCACTATATAATCTCACTCTGGCCAGAGAGTCGCTGAGCTGGCCAAAATGATGTCCACAAGCTGATATAGTTAATGTGACCAGCAACTACAAAGACTACCACATCCCAGTCTAATTAGGCTTTGGAGACACAGTTTGACTTGGGAGTTTTGTTGTTTTTTACCTCAGGAGAAAAAGCCAGAAGATGTTTGTCAACTGCTGTATGGATCATCACAGAGATATTACCAAAGTTTTCCCTGCTATATTTAGGAGCAAGCTTTTCCACTCCTGCTCATCCTACCAGATACACCTGTTTGCCTGTCCTGAGAATTCAAACCGATGACTAACACTACTGAAATCACAAGTTGAGCAAGATGCTAATAAACATTTTAAAAATCAAGTAATAGCACGTTACTAAAGCCAAACTAGACTTTCAAACACAGAGAGAAGTCACAGATAACTTTTTTTTTTTAATGCTGAATAGTGTAGAGCGATCCAAGCAGAACAGCAATTCTGTTTAAATATCCAGGGGGAAAAAAAGCTTGTAAGGGTTGTTTACAACTGGAAATGTGAAAATAGCAAGAATCAGAAAAAACCTAAAGAGGCTAAGGTAGAAAGATATGAAAGCTTGGGACCAAAATGACAGTATTGCACATAACAGAAGAGTAAATGTGATTTTCAGGTGAGAGAAGACAGAGAAAGGAAGGACAGAAAGCGGAAACAGACACAGAAGAAGAATGAGCTAACATCTCACATGGGGTTGGGGGGAGAGGGGAAGAAGGTGCTCACTTAAATTTATGTTTCCAGCATAACCAAAAGTACTAATTCCAACAAAAATCCAGGAATCCATGTGTTTCATCAGTGGTACTGAAAATGCAAAAGAATTTAGTTTAAACTAGAAAACCAGTTTAATTTGTTGCTTCGTGTTGAGTCATAAGAGCAGAAGAGCTTGAAGTGGCTTCCAAATACAAGGCTTTTGTGTATAAGTGGGGAAGAAAAAGCTGCTGGCTCTGCTTATGCCTGGACATGCCACTGCTGCTGCCGCTTGAATACAAGCAGTGTGGGAGCTGATACACTAATGCGAGTCTACAGGCTTACTGCACCTGTAACTGAAGATGCTGAAGCAGTTCTAAGACAGGGTAAAAAATGGAGTTAAGAGTACTAATCTGAAACCAGATTAAAGTTGGTAGCAGAAAGTCATAGTAGACAGTGGCAGCTCAAAGTAGGGTGTAAGACACATGTGGGAGAGGTGTGAGTATGCACAAATCCAGAGTTAAACCAGACCTGAAGGAATTAAAAAAAAAAAAGATGACAACAAAACTAATCCTGCAACACTTAATAATTTTTAAAGTATTTACAAATACCTAGTACTAGCACGTAACAGGATGTCAAGCAGCACAGCTGCACTTATCAGCTATGACCTTTCCATGAATCGTGCCCAGTGAAGTTATCTATGTTGCAACAGCAACTGAAATAGTAATGAGCTTGTAAAGTTTACAGCAAACAGGATATAAGGAAAATAACCTAAGCACTTTGTCTTCCAAGTTTAATTCTACACTGTGTACAAACACACACACTTCACAATATTCTTCACACAGAATACTCACTCTCTACAGTAGCTGTGAGTATATATGGTTCCCTGAAATTAACACAATAGAAACCCACCCAATTAACTTGTAACAGCCAAGAGCAGCGAGGGCTGAAACCTAACAAAGGTTTGAGATACCTACAGCTTTTGAGAATGAGGTTTTGGAACTTATTTTTACATTTTATTTCAAAAATAACAGCCTGACCACCATCAAGAAAACACTTGGGATAAAGTCATGGTGGAAAACATGATGCAGGGAATTATCATAAGGAACGGCTATAAGTAATTTCTGCTCGCATTCATACATTAGAATTTGGGAAGCTGTAACTGAACACAACAGCAATCCTGTTTCACAAAGAAATCCCCCCCAACTTTAAAAAAATAAAAGAAGAAATTGATATGCAGGGAGGGAAGGTTAAAGTTGGAGTCTATCAGTTACTATGGGGGTCCCATCAGCTACTCTGCTGACACAGAGAACAGTACAAGCCATACAAGGAAAATACTTCCAAAGAATCCTGCAGTCCGACCTTAATGTTTGGACTAAGCCAAAGCCTGAATTTTGGCAGACTGTACATGTTTCCATTATTTCAGCCTGTATAAGGCTCTGACATCAAAGTAACCATGTAAAATTCAGAAAGTTCTCTCAGCAAGCTAGAAGAGAAAAAAACCCTAAAGTAATAGCTTTCAGGAATCATTTGCTACTGATCACCGTGGCCTGTGATTGGACTGCATCACCTCCTAACTTCCTTCCAGCTTTAATACTCCTCTTCATAACATCCACTCCTAGCAACATTTGGTATCAACAAGCTATTGTGTTAATTACTTGGGAAACAGAAGAGTTGCCAGACTTACTGGATACTAAACAAACTGGTTCTCATCCACTTATTGTATTTAACAGTAACGGTAGCAAAAGAGAAACCACCAGCAACAACTAACATAAGCATACTTAGTTGTTTATGCAAAAAAAAAAAAAAAAACCAACCAAAAACCATTAGGTAGGTAGATACACTGTTAGCAGATGATTTTATGTTTTCAAGGCTAAACCTTTCAAAAGACTGAAAAAAAAATCATATTACTCCCCATTTCACGGGGGTTGGCATTCTTTTAGACAGTCAATGTTAAATTAGCAAGTTTCTCAGAAAATTTAAAAGGGTCTGCAGCAGAATGGATATCTAGAATTGATACCTACTGCTTTTCTCTGTCTGGAGAGAAAACTAGCATAATTGCAAAAAGCTTACTTCATAAAGGAAAAAAAAAAAAAAAAGGGTGGAGGGGGAAGGGAGAAGTAGGAATCAAAGCTCAGTGTTTGAACTGGTGCCACTGCCGCGTAACACAGCAGCCCAGCTAGCCCAGCTCCCCGGGGCCAGGGT